TGAACGCTAGCAGCAGTCCTGAAAACAAACATGAAATAATACAAAGTCAGTGGAAACTACTTTTCAGGGTCGAGACCCGCGACAGCTTTCAAGGGACAACAGGTAGGAACAGGAACCACGTTGAACTTGAATAGTAGTCCAGCAGGAATCGCAATCCACATGAGGAAGGCGACGGCCCAGCCAGAGGGGTCCTCAGTAGTTGATATCAGAATACCAACGTTCAACATTGTATACAACATGCCTGAGAAAAGAAAGCAATGAATTGAATGAAAAACACCATGAATAGCTCACCTGAGGGCATCGGGTTCTCCCATGTAAACACAGACCAGCTTCCCCTAGAGCAAGTAGCTTCCTTTTTAGGGACTACGACAGGGGCTGCGGGGGTAGTGTTAGGCGTCTCGACAGTTGTGGCCATTTTCCAATCTGTTTGAAGGAAAACGAACAAATCTGTAAAAAAGAGGAGAACACTTTATTCATTCGTTTGTCTCTTGCTATTATATCATCAGCATCACACCTTCCCCTTCTGTAGCGTCAGCAAGGCTAGAAAGCTTTGAAAATATCGTCACGGACATGGAGCACAAATTTGTCAGGAACGGCGGAGCGAAGCGATTTTTTATTTCGCATTTTTCAACGCTAAAGCGAATTGTTGTGTCACGTGTCCCTGGCACTGTTTTACGGGGTGTTCAGAGAATTCCGCCGGAATCCATTCCAGAAAGTATTCTTAGAATCGATTTTTAGAATCGATTCCTGGATCGTGTTCAGAGGATTCCATTCCCAAATATTCCGGAATGTATTCTGGAATCGATTCCGAAACGCGTTCAACGAATCGCGCTCTCAGAATGAGTTCTCAGAATCTATTCTAGAATGGAAACCTTAATTTTTCGTAACTTGCAACTCTTCGCTCCGCCCATAAAGCACTCTGTACTTCCTTCGCCCGCAAGCGAAGGCGGAACTTTCGATCGGGACACTGGTTGACTCAAGAGCCTCAAGGCGAATGGGTTGAAAAGTATATTGAATTCCATGTCAGTATCAATACGCTGGATTGGCGCTTGTCGACATCGACAGGAACTTACAATGTAAGGAGATTCTATTTTGCCTGAAGCCGAATCGGTTATTATTGATACATACTCCAGGAAAGTAAGCGATATCCTATCTACACCTTTTCAATCTCAAATTCACCAAAAGAAAGAACAAATTAGATTTTCGACCAGTGAAAGGAGTTTTCCACGGAATTTAAGTTCAAATTCACATTTGAACACCAGTTGTCCAAATAATGCACTGTGTGTGAGCGGGAAGCCCAATTTTCATGTCCACACATGTTGTGGAACC